GGACCCTGGAGCTGTATTCCCTGCATGCTTCCACACTGACTAAAGCCCTGGCCTGACTTCATGTTTAGAATCACATTAGTTAACTTTTTAAACACTCACATTGTCACGGCTTAACACCTGGAAAAATCTGCTGTGAGGGCATGGCCAATGCTGGAGTTTTCTGCAGAGATGCAGCCACAAGAACCTGCAATTCCTGCAGGAATGCTGTGCCAGGCTGAGCAAAGGGACACAGAGGGGAAAAAAGAGACTCCCTGCCCCAAGAGGTGCAGCCACCCCTGGTTTTTGCTCCTTGGAGGGTGTTTATGGAGCACTCTGATGCTGCTCGTTTTATCTCACTTGGCAGGCTGCAAAGTAAACCTACAACTACAAACATCTCTGGGAAAATATATACAACTGTTAAATAGGTAATTTATCCTCCCAAATTTCAGTGTGACACTTCAGCTGTTAAAATCAGCTTCCACTCAAGCTTAATGCCACAGGGGTTTTGCTGAACTCCACTTGGAGTTGCTGAGACTTTTTATTAGAGATACAAACTGCCATGAATTCTGTTCCTTTCTTGAAAAGAAATGATTCATGAACAAATAAACCTGCTTTCCTTAGAATATAGGAATTATGAAATACAACTGTTTAAGGAGTTTTAGACTGGTGCTCTTCTGTGTATTGTGGCTGCAAAGTATGAGCTATTCCTGCCTGTAGGCTGGTTAAACTAAATCTCATGGCAATATTCTCCTCCTGAAATGAATAACTCAGACTTGGAGCATTGCTGAGGAGAAATGAATGGACTCTTCAAAATATTTGTTCAGAAGGGGAATTATTAATGCACAAATTAATGAAATACATGGATACATCATTAATTCTTGGCCTTTGTCTTGTATTACTTGACGAAATACAGAGGCCTCAATAATTTAAAAATTCACAGATGTTCAGTAAAAAATGCATCTTGACTTCATCTGCTAAGAGGCATTTTACTGAAGCATCACCCAGCCAGCTGTGGGAGACTGAAGGATATTCTTTTAATTGGCTAAACCTCTAAGTGCTTTATAATTGCTTTCACTAAGCAGCTTCAGTGACAGAGCAAACGCTACCTGGAACTGATTACATTTTAATAGGCTTAGCCAACGTCCCCCGTGCAGAGCCTCCCCTTGATGTCCATCAATTTGTCTCAGTGTCGTTATCAGAGCTCAGCTGTGCCATTCAGTAACTCCTGCCCTCCTTCCATCCCCGTGGGGATGGTCTGACAGGCAGCCAGGAGCTGCTGAGGGCTGCAGGCAGGGGGATTAGTGGGGGTATCAGTCCATGCCACAAAACTGCACCATTTCCAGAAGACATTTTGGCTGAACAGAGGTTTCATCCTCAGCCAAGCTCAAATACACCCTGATTTTTGAGCAGCAGAGAGAATTGGGGCTGTTCAGCCTGGAGAAGAGAAGGCTGCAGGAAGAACTTGCTGCAGCCCTCCAGTGCCTAAAGGAGCTCCAAGCAGGCTGGAGAGGGCCTTGGGACAAGGGTCTGGAGTTACAGTACAGGGAAATGGTTTTAAAAATGAAAGAAGGAAGGGTTAGACTGGGATATCAAGAAGAAATTCTTCCCTGTGAGTGTGGACAGGCCCTGGCACAGGTTGTACAGAGAAGCTGTGGCTGCTCCATCCCTGGAAGTGCCCAAGGCCAGGTTGGACAGAGTTTGGAGCAACCTGAGATAATGGAAGGTGTCCCTGCCACGGCAGCAGATGGAATGAGATGAGCTTAAAGGTCCCTCCCAACCCAAACCATTCCATGATTGCGTGATTGTTCTGGTGTGTGAGTGCATGTGAGTATTTAAGGATTATTTAGAACTTTATCAAGTGATTGGCATATCAGAAAACATTCATACTCCTGTGAAGCATCACACAGCTTTGGGAGACTCAGCATTCCAGGGCTCCAGCAGACCCATGGAATAGCAACACAACCTGGAGGTGTTTAATGGAAGGACTTAGGTGGATGAAGGAGGGTATGCAATCTGTTAGTGGAAGGTATTTTTAACAACAGACCTGGTTGCCCTGATATTCTCAGTAAAAAAAGCTGGGAAGCTGTGAGTGCCTGGAGCCCTCTGAATTTGAATCCTCACACCTGGTGAGCTCTGACAGCAGAGAGGGAATTCAGGAATCAGGAATCTCTTGCTTACTGACTTAATGAGTTGGCTCCCAGGCAACAGGCCTGACACATCCCTTGATCCTGATCACCCTCATTATTCTGTACATGACCACAGTCAGGCAGAGCCAAGAAAATTCACAAATGCTACCAAAAGGGAGGAAAACACTGTTGTGGGTGTTTTGAATGAGGCTGTTAGCCTAGCCACTTTTAGCTCTTATTTCAATGTAAACAAATACTTAATCTCAGTACATTTGGAGCAGGGAAGTTTTTGCTGCTCTGCTCTTACCCAACAGCCCTGCACACCATGAACGTCAAAAAGTTGTTTTCTAAGCTCTGCTTTTACAAGTTCTGAAACATTTCACCCTTAAACCTAAATCAGCCTTCTCTGTACCTCAGGCCAAAGTTCACTTTTGGAAATAGAAAATACTTTCACCCCCATGAAGCTCTGATACTCTGCCAGCAGCTTTATAAGGGGGGACAAGCATCATTTTTATTTTCTTCCATAAATCAGCCCAGACTCTGTTCATGATTTTGGCTGTCATGGATGCCAGGATAAATCATGTGAATCCTTGTGTATTCTTTGCTGTTTTTCAGACAGCTCAGAGAGCTGGGTTATTAAAATGTAACTCATGAGGAACAGGTGACAAAAGTAAGAGTGAATCAAGCACCTCCAGTAATAAAAGAAAAAAAAAATCTTTTTTTGTATCTGAAAAACTGAAATGCACAGGATTTCACTCCCATTTGCTGGATAAAGAGAGCATTTCTGCATGGTGGAGTGAATCACAGGCAAAAGTGAGGGAGGATTTTTTTTATTTGCTGGATCTTCCTGAGCACAGAAATGCAGCAAACAGCTGCCCTCTCATTGCCTTCCCAGCAGGGAGGGGAGCTCAGTCCTGCTGCTGGGGTGGCCCTGAGGAGATGCCTGGAATATCTGGGCATCCCTGCACAGGGAGCCCCCGTGGTGCCACATCTGACCCACTTTTGAGCCCCCTCAGGCTCCTGACTGAAACCCTCATTTTGCCAAATATTCTCAGCTTTTGCAGTACACAGCAAACCCAAAAATTTGCCTGGAGAAGAAAAAAGAGGAAGCAGAAGAAGATGAAAAAGAAAATTATGCTTATTGTTCAGAAAGTGAAGGGTTGTTTTTCAGAGCCTCAGAGGAGATGTGGACCTGGGGGTGAGGGGTGCACTTCTTCCAGTGCTGAGGAATGCCAGATGTAAATTTAGGTTTCTCTGCTATTATTCATGAAGAGCTCTCTCTTCTTGATGATCAAAGAGGATACAATACTAAAAGGAGAGAGAGAGAGGTGTGTGAGGTGGTGTAGCAGAGTGAGAAAAGGCAGCTTCTCACTTCGTGGCAGCAGGCAGAAGTGTTAAAAAACAGAAAGGGATAGCAAGGAGCAGAGTCCTGGTAAGATCCACAGGGAAACAAGGCTCCCTCCTCACCCACCCCTGGGTAACAGCTCATTGGGGTGTAGAGACTGTAAACAAACACAGTCCAACAAGATAATTGCAGGGAATTTAATGTCCCCTGTGCTTTTCTTTCCTTTTTCTCAGTAGGTGTTTCCCAGTTGGGAATGCACAGGTGGCTCTCACCTATGGCACAGGCAAGGAGTGCTGCATGGGATGCATTCCCTGTGAAAAACATCTGGGAAACTGTCATGGAGGCTCCTGGTGCCTTCTCTAGGGATTTCTCTCATTGGAAATGTCTGAGCCAAAGCATTTCAAATACCAAGATATCCCATCCCTGGAAATGTCCAATTCCAGGTTGGATAGGACTTGGAGCAGCCTGGGATAGTGGAAGGTGTCCCTGCCCATGGCAAGGGTTTGGGACTGGGTGAACTTTGGGGTCCCTGCCAACCCAAAACTTCTAAAAACACCAGAACACCAGAAAGCTTTCTGCTAACAAATTCTCTCCATCTCATGTTTAAAACCACTACGGGCACCCTTTGTTAGCTATTTTGGGTAATATTTTTGGGCAGCTTTTGCCTTATCCTCTCTAAGGTTAAGCTACTAGATTCTTTGGTCTTTTCCTCAGTTTATTTAATCAAGACATCCACTACTCTGCAGTACAGCTCAATTCCTGAGTGCAGGATCTTTTATTCAAGCTCTGTCTGAACCAGAGCTATGCAGAAAAAGGGAAGTAATGAAACAACACAAGCAAGGCTTAAATTGCTGTCGACTAAATCATTAAAATGCTGGGTTGGTTTTGCTTTTCCAGAGTGAGCAGGTCTGCTCCTTAGCTTTGCAAACCAATGAGAGGAATAGTGGATTTGTCTTTACAAACAAGCTGGGTAGATAAAACTAGCACTGGGAGATAAAAGAAACGATGGGAAAGATTCCATTGATTGATGAATGGAAAAAGATATTTGCTGTTACAAATAAACTTTAGGTTTGTTGATAAATGAAATTAGACATTGAAAGATGAATGAAACAATGAAGAAGAAAAACCCCTATATTCAGTAAGAATTAAAAATTAAAAGAGAGGGTAATACATTAGAGAGGAATCTCTGGTGTCAGGCGTTCTGGGAAGTCTGAACCTCTCAAGTACCTCAGAAATGAGAGGTTAAGAAAGAGAGGGGAAAGAGAGAAGGGAAATGTGGCCGGGAAATTGGGATAAAAAGGAGGCTTTGTCCTCCAAAAATCTGAGAGATCCCAGGGGAATGCCCTGTGGCCTCTGCCTTTATTCGAATAAAGTCAAAGGACTCCTCTATCTCCTTTTTGGACATAAACCTCAGGTGTTTGTGGATTAATTTTCCTAACACCAACAAGCAAAGACAAAAGGAGAGGGCGTTTTGGGCTGAAGTGTTTTCCAATTCCCACCTGTTCCTCTTCCAGTCCCATTTCTATTCCCCAAGGGAAGGCCATACTCACGCAGGACCCTCACGCCGTGCTTCAGGGCTTGCACTCTGCTGGGCTCCATGGACATGCTGAGCATGGTCTGCTGCCCGCCAATGGTGCACACCTGGTTCTCCTGGGCCGCCTGCCTGAACATCACCAGCAGCTGGTTGGCGATGATGGTGTTGAGCACCGAGATGACGACCATGGGGAACACGAAGGAGATGAAGGTGTTCACCTGCAGGGGAGGGATGGGGCACAGTCAGGGAGAGGAGCAGCGGAGCAGGAGGTTGGGTTTTATTTCTCAAAGCAACAGAGGAACAGCCTGCAGTGGAAAGCTTTCCCTCCTCTCACTCAGCTGGTTTTGGAGGTTTGTTGTACAGAGGAAGAACTCAAATGCTGCTGATGCAAGTTCGTTCATGTCGGTCAACACCCAAAAAAGGCAAAATCATTCATATCCAATCTATTCAGATCATTTATGTATTTTCCCCTTTTCAGTGCAGTTCATTGCCAGAAATGTCTTCTCTGAAACATGTCATTGATCTTTTCATCTCACAACCAGCAGGATGCTGCTTAGCTCTCATCATGCATAGCGTGACTTCTAAATAACAGTGTGTTATTGTCTTTTCCTGCATTATGAGCCCTCCTTGGGATCTTTTTAACTATCTTTTGTTTTGTCTTGTGTCCTTTCCTTGTGGATTTAATGACAGTGTTTTGTTACCTCATAACTACGTTAAATAAACCTTGTGCCTGAAAGGATTAAAATTGATCAGAATAAACAAGTGGAAATTGTAATGTTTTTAGTACAAATTATTTGATTACTACAGTTTTGATAAAATTAAATGGAGGATCAAATTAAGCAGTGATTGAATCAAGTGGAAGTCACAGTTCATGTCAAATGCAGGAAGGCTTTTGGGCTGTTTAGAAACCCCAGTGGAACTGAGCTTGGCAAAGGGCAGCCCAGGGAAACAGAGGCACGTGTAGGGTTTGCCTGCACATCTGCCATGTGGGATGGGAGCTGCTCTGCTGAGCCCAAGAGCTCATCCTCTCTGCTGGATGGCACAGGAGGAGACTCAGCACATCACCCAGCTGAGTGTGGAACAAATGAAAAGCCCTTCAAGTTTTCAGAATTTCAAAATATTGACAAGAATTGAACCGTGCTGCAAATCGCTGCGAAAGCAATTGTATTAGAAGTGATAAAATGACAAAAAGATGAAACTTTGAAACTCAAGAGGGAATTTGCTCAGTGGGAGAGCTCCAAGGCAGGCTGACTTCTTCCCTAGACAGGGACTTATCTTTCACCTCAGTGATGTAGGACACAGAACAACCCAGATAATGCCAGGTCCCTCTGCAGATTGCAAAACCTCATCTAGAGACATGTGCTCCATCTGCTGGGATGGAGATATCCCCTCTCCATCCACCCACCCCTGCTGGACCATCACCACGGTGGGCAGGGTTCTCTGTACACCCTGTGTCTGGTGCAGATCTGTGGGCTCTGTGCTCTGGGGGGATTCAGAAATGCTGCAGGTGAATGGGAATCACCCAACCACACCCCCAAGGTGCTGCAGGGCATCTGTAAAAGAAATGAGCAGCACATAAACACAGGGCAGCAGAGGCACAACAGACACACTTCACTTTCTCTGTCCATAGGTCTGAAGCAGAAACTCCTCTCTTGATGAAGACAGGCTCTGTGGTTGTTGCCCAGGTTTTCTTTGGATGGATCAAGCCTCTGTACAACTTTTTGCTCTGGAGCTCAAGGTGTTAAGCAAAAGCACCAGCTGGGTTTTGTCTCTGTCCCACATGGTGAGAACATCCTCTCCCGTTTATGCTGATAACAACAACAGAGCTCCTCTGCGGGCTGAGTGAACTCCTTGATACACCCCACCACCACAAGCTGCCAATGGCCTCTATTATTAAGTATAAAACAGTTTTCTACTCTTCTAAAAGATCTCACAGCCTCCTGTATATAAAAAGAGTTATGTTTAGGAGTTGCCTCCACAGGCTAAGACTGATCATTAAGCAATAAAGACCAACTATTTAACCCTTGCAATGCAGCCAGGCTGAGCTGGAGCACACAGGGGGGAAATGATTGCTCAGATTAACCTGGTCAGACTAACACATGAACCCTGTAGCTCCTCACCCCAATTTCTGTGGCTTTAGCTGCAGAATGCCCTTCCTCTTCCCCGCTGCTGAACAATGTCTGCACATCAGCAAAATGCACCATTTAACTCTGGAAATGTTTCACTCTGTCACCTGAGATTCAGGATTTATTGGTTTTCATTCTAAAATTTTGCCCTACCTGTAAATTACACTTGCTTGATGTAATTTTGCAGAACTCTAAAAGTCTTTTCCAAGCTGTCTTAAAAGCCTTGATTCATTCCATAGTTGCATTGTGTAGTCTCTTAAAGAGCTTATGAAATTGGCTAGAATAGCATTGACTTTCCCTTTTAGGAATTGTTATGATAAAAGTGGGAATATTGCATAGTTTCCATCAAAGGCTATATTTAAAGATTTTTCCCCTGCCTTGATTTGTAGCAAAACTCTCATATATTAAAAAAAAATTTTAAAAAATCAATATTTTCCCCAGTAGCAGAATGTTTTAATTTGTTGAAAGAATTATTATTTGCAAACACAAAGTCTCAAAGTACACAAGGGCTAGAAAAGCCAATTTTCCTAAGTAAACCTTTTCTGTTCCCTGTTTTTCTGTTGAGCTGCTTGCTGGGAGCCCAGCACACTGAGCACATGAGTGCAGCAACACTTCATTTTCAAGTGGCTTTGCACACTGCTGGAGCTGGTGCCTCCAACAATGTCTCAAAGTCAGTGGAAAATTTCCCCCTTGCTCAAGAGGAGCTAGTCTGGGATCCCAGGACTACACACTCAAAAGTTCAGGAGCAGGAAGATTTTTTGGAGGTGATTAATGTGATATTTTATAGTGTCTCCAACATCAGTGGCCACTTTGGAAAAAGATGGGGTTTGGATCCCTACTAGAAGACAAAACTTTTTTTTGTTAGATACATCTGAAGGCAGGGAGGGTAAAATTGATGAGTATTACACCTGTTTATGGGTCGCCTTTGCTCCCAGCAAAACTCCATCCCCTGAGCCACCTGCAGCTGGCTGTTCATGGTCCATCAGCACCAGATTTTGGACAGGCACAGAAAAAAATGAGTGAGATCTTGGAGAAGTGGTTAAAAGTAAACACATGAGGCTAAAGGCTCTTCTGGAGATACAGTGGCAAATTCAACACTCTAAGTATTTATGATAAAAATAGCCAAGAATCAGAACCACTCACAACATTTTAATTGGAAGAGTTTAGATGAGAAAAAAGAAAATGTTCCAATACTGAGATAATAAAAGATTTTTGAACATGGGTGTTGTGTTTTCCCCCATGCCTTTTTTCCAGATAAGTAAATAAAATCCCCCAAAGCCAGGGGAGCATGAAATGCTGGTCCCAGTGTGGTGCATCCCATGGAGCAGCAGCTGGAGCAAGGCCCCTGGAGTGGGCAAGGGGACCAGCTGAGATTAAGGGATAATTTTAGCCCTGGGTTATGGCAAGGATTTTGTGTCAGAGATGAGAGATGTTCCCTTGTAGCCTGATAGGTGAGGTGAGAGCAGAGCCAACCCTTGGTCTCTGTCAGCTCAGCCTCTCCAGGGACACAGCCCCTCCAGCAGTGAGCTGGGATGCCCAAAGAGATTTTCTCCCTTTCTTTCCAGGGCTGTGGGAAGGACAATTGAAATGGAGAGAAGTGTGGATGATGGGGAGCTGGGCAAACCTCATTTGTACCCACTAAGTTTCTGTCAGAGCTCATTTCCCTGAGCACACCTGGGGAATGCTGTGAGATGGCTGCAGCCTCCCTGCTTTTTGCTGGGGAGGATTCTCAGTGCAGATACACCTGGGGAAATGGTGAGAAACCCCAAAGGAGATGAAAACTGACTCAAGAGGAGATATGTCCTTGCTGGTTTCCTGGAAGTGATGAGGGAGAGGCCTGAGGATACAGCACATCATTTGATTTGTGGTTTTGAGCAGATCTGTTAAACCACAGAGCCACATTTCAACAATCTACCACATTCTGGTTCACCTCATTTCCAATGGAAATGGAAAGTAAATTATCCTCCCCCTGACTGTGGAGGCAGTATTGTTAGCATATGTCAATCAGGGAAGCACATTCTGCTACAACAACATTTGGCTGCCAAAAAATCTTATTTGACTAAATGTACTTTACAAAATTACTGGTTATCTCACTCAGTAGCCAGAATTAGCATTTTTTTAACCAGCCAGTGGATAATTTCAGCCATTAATAAGCACAGTACTGCATTCCAGGATACAGCAATCTGTGCAAGACAAAGCAGAGAAGGGGAAGGTACATCGTGTTGGGATGCCAAAGGGAGCATTTGGCAATGGCACTCCTGTTTGATGTTCCCAGGACGTGTCTGATGAAAAAAAAACATCCACAGGTTTTTCTTCCCCCACAGTAAATAAATAACCATCAAATTAATCCCACCTTTACATTATCTCTCCAGCTTTCCATGCCAAGTGTCTCAGGACTGTCAGGTAAATACCATTTAGCTACAGCAGGGCAGCAGAGGTTAGTGTTTGTGAGTGATAGAAGAAAATAACCGTGCTTGTGGAGCCAGTAACTGGCACAGGGAAAAGCGTGGAAGCTGGACAACTACAGCCTAGCAAGGGAATTTATCTCCTCTGGAATTTTTTGAGGGGAGCAGTACTGCAATGTGTTGGCTCTGGATCTTGGTGCAGGCCTGGTGCAGGCACTTGGATCAGGGCATCCTGGTGTGGGAGCACAAATGCTGGGTAAATAGGAATAACTGGCCAAGTGCCAAAGGCTGTGTGTGTATCTGGAGCTCTACCAGTGCCTTTGGGCAGGAGCTTGACCTTTGCAGGCTTTGCCAGGTTTATCTGGGGCAGGTTTGCCTGTCACACCTCATTTGGGCAGCTCTCTCTCCAGAGCCCTGACAGCGTGGCAGGGGTGACACAGCTGTCACCCTCGCACAGAGGCTGCTGCTGACCTGGCTGGGGGACACTCTGTGCCCTCTGCAGACACTTCTGGTGGGGATGGTGGAATCCTGAATCCCCTCACAGCACCAGAGTGGCACAAACCCCACTGAGCTCAGCCCTCTGAAATAACCCTCCCTTTCCTCACAAAGAGGGACAGTGTGACAGTGTTCACAGGGGTTCTCAGATGAGGGAAGAGATGAGGATCTGACTCCATATTTCAGAAGGCT